ATGTTTGCCCTTATAAACATAAACGAATATTAAAGTCCCACTAGATGATTAAATATATTTATAGTCCCAGCTAAGCACTCGCCCACCTTGTAACTTCATTAGTTTAAGTTATAACATTACCAAATCCCAAATCAGCTTGTGGTCATCTCCCAAGTTTTCAATGATTTTTGGACCAAAACACATCCCCTATTGCTATAAATCCGTTTTTGTCGTGTATCCATGAATTTGAAGCTGCAAACAAATATATATGCATAGATCTGATGATATTCTACGAATACAAGTGAACAATTTAGATAAAAGCATATAATATAATTTTTTGGAAAATTAACAAAAACACCTCTTTATTTATTAGGTTATTAAAAATAAACCTCAAAATTTTTAAAACCTCATTCATACCCCTTTTCACCACTGTTCTCATTTTTTTTTACTAAAATACCCTTCATGATTGTCTTAGATTCATGAAGGCATCACGGTACATACATAATTGTGATGATCGGCTACATTGTAACAATTAATAAAGAACCATGACGCAAACCACGGCAGTCGCACCACTGTGATACCCATTTCACATACCTTAAAATATCATTGTTCTATTAGAATCGTGATGGTTAGACAACCCAATCACAGTTGAAGGAATACCATAATGGTTGAATAAGTGCAAGAGGCATCACGATTTTGTGAGTGCCATGATGTCCAAATATTAACATACCTACATGGTTCAGCTAGAACTGTGATGACTTAAACCCCAAACCAAGAGGGCTTGAACTCTATACAACCATCACGGGTCTAGGTTAAGTGTGATGCCTTTATGGACCTAAAATTACAGTCGAGGATAATTTAATAATAAAAACGTAAATAGTGGTGAAAAAGGATATGAATGAGGTTTTAAAATTTTGGAATTTATTCTAGATAACCTAAAATTCAAGGATATTTTTAATAATTTCCCTAGACTTTTTTTAGGTTCACAATGATTTTATCGGTTACATAGTAGAAGAATAGACATGCAAAATGTCGAACCCAATGTCCATTTTCAAAAAGGAATTTGGAACGGTAGACTCACAATAGGCACACGGCAAAATTACAATAAATAATTCTCTTACCCAACAAAGGATTGTGAACGAGTTTGCAAGAAGCATGTTAGCTTCACATAATTTTATTATGTACAATATACAAAATGCAAGCCATAGGGGACTTTTGGTGTCACGGCGGTTACAGTCCTTGATAGAGCAAAATGACGAACCAGAATTCATGTAGCCTATCCCAAATAGTTGGAAAACATATGTGATGATGATGATGAAGCTAAAAGAAAATTTTACGATTCTATATTTATTTGGAAGATTAATAAAATGTTTGTAAGTAATAAAAAATGATTGTTTTCTTTATAGTATATATATATATATATATATATATATATATATATATATATATATATATATA